TTAAAATATCAATCTAATTTTTTTTATCACACTTCTAATAAAAGTGAGATCTTTTTTTTTGTCAAAGTGTGATCTTTAACTATTTTTGTAGTAATGATGCAATTACTTCCTCAGCTGCTACATACTCTCTTTTTATTTATTTTTATTTTTTAAACACTGCACTTTATTGCGTGCTAGAATATTCCACATTTCTTACCAGCCAACTAGTGTATGTAAAAAAGGTTACTTCGGTCGGTATGGTCCTGACCTCAACTTAATTATCCCCCATTAATTGTTCCTCTATAGTTTTATGTAAGGCCTAGACAGGAATGGCGTTTGCAGTAGTGGTGAAGGTGGTAAAGGAGATGGGTGGTGAGAGAGAGAGAGATGAGTGAGAGACAGATAGAAAAGAGAGAGAGAGAGAGAGAGAGAGAGAGAGAGAGACAAAGAAAGAGTTATGAGCGAGAGAGAGACAAAGTGGTCACTAAAAGTGCATTTTCTTGTAGCGGATAGATAAATCGAGAGGGAGCTCAGTAAATAGAGAAGAGGGAAGAGAGAGAGAGAGCAACGCGAACACATGGAGAGAGAGAGAGAGAGAGAGAGAAAGAGAGAGAGAGAGAGAGAGAGAGAGAGAGAGAGAGAATCTGCGAGAGTGAAAGGAAAAGTGGGTCTCTAGGTTAGATTTTTTTTTTTTTAATAAAATAAATAAATAAATAAAAAAAATAAAATAAAAGAAAGAAAGTGGAACTACGTGGGTGAGGTGCAAAAGTAATGATAATGTTGTGTGAGTGGAGAATAACGAAAAAAAAAGAAAGGGATTCTGTTGTGTGGGTTGTGTATGTGCTGGTGTATGTGTGTGATGATTAAAAAAATGTGGGCATTAGAAATCCCGTGGGTGTGTGTGTGAGTGTGGGTCACAAGAAAAAAAGGGATAGAGAGAGAGGTTAATAAAAAAAAAATGCAAGATGAGTGAAACGGGATGGTATAGGAGGCTGACGAACACTATGATCAGCAGTACCACCTCTAATAATATCCGTTTCTTTCATTCAGGCGGCGGCTGAGCCTTGGGCTTCGGCGGACGGCCGCGGCCGCGTCTCGGCGGCGCGTTGGGGTCGGGCTTCATGTAGTTGTTCTTGACCATGACGAGCTGACCGCTCTGCTTCATCTTGTTCAAATGGTGAGAGAGAAGCGTCGCATGCGCCGCCGGAACGTCGCCGGAAGTACAGCACACCTCTATCACTCCTCATGAGCACGTAGTCGTGGCTCATCGCGAGCAACATCCCCGCGGCGGCGGCGTGGCCCGTCACGGCGGCGATCGTCGGCATCGGGAGGGAGATCAAGTCCGCCACCAACGGCCTGAATAAAACGACCATGTGATGGAACCGATCACGGGCGGCGGAAGGGGAGCCGCCGGATTGGGCCCAGGCGAGGTCGAAACCGTTGGAGAAGAACTTGCCGTGAGCGGTGGTGATGAGAGCCGAGCCGCGAGTCGATTGCTCACGTGCTTTGCGCAGAGCCGATCGGAGCGAGCCGATGAGGGTCGGGTTCAGGCGATGCTCATCGTCGCCGGTGAGAGTCAAGAAGAAGATGTTGCCGCGCTTCTCTAACGTGCACATGGTGGTACAATGTTCCGTCGCTTTTTGGTTGGTGCGCAGTGTTATCAGAAGATAAAGAATTGGGATTTGGATACCCTGCGGCGAGCTCACATGAGACATCAGTTGATATCACCAATGAGGTTGAGATGGGATATATGTGGCCGATACGGGGCGGATTTGTTGAGAAAATTATTAGGGGTTGTCGCTTTATCCACCAACAATTTTAGCACAATGATTTTTTTAGTTAATTGTTTAACTTTTTAATTTTTTGAACTTAAATTTTTTTTATTCGTTTGGTATTTTTGATTGATTTTTTTGACTTTTTAACTTTAGAATGATGAATTTTTTTTTGTCTTTTTATATTTTTTTGACTTTTTTTTTTTTATCCTTTTGTAATTATTTAGCCAAAAATAAAAACCAAACACCACCTTAGGTATTATAAAAATTTGTTAAAAATATAAAAATAAACTTTTAGGTTTGATGTCAATAACAAATTAAATATATACATATGTATTTAAAATTATTTTAATTTTAATTGTTAATTTTTAAAATAATATCAATTTTAACTATTCATTAGTTATAATTAACAAAATATAAATAATTTAAATAATTGAATAATGACGGTGTTTATAGACAGTGATAATGAATATGAATTTTGTGATCAAATGGCATTAAAAAATATTGCTCAATATGAAGAACCATTTTAAGTAATGTAAAATGATGATGATACTACTTGTCTTTGAAGAACGTGTAACGATTCCATCACTTATAATGATTAGTACTTGTTAATTAACAGGATTTGAAATTTAATTGTCGAGTATTATAATTTAATTTGAGATTTATGAGAATTGTGGAATCTGACTCGTATATGATTCTATTAAAGATTTATTTTGAAATTAGGAATTAAGGGTCCAAATGACTTAAGGAGGTGAAGTTAAAAAGTTGAATCAATTTAATCTTAATTATAGACCCATTTGGGGGTTTAATTAAATATTCGTTTTAGTTTAGTAAAATTGAGATTCGATTAATTAGGTCCTAATTGGAGTTGATTAAGTCATGAGGATTGAGAATTGTGGTTATTATAAATTAAATTTCATTATGATGTGTCCAATTTGAATATGTAATTTATTGATGAAAATTTGAGTTTGATTAGGAATTGAAGGCCTAATTGATTTGGGAAATCAAAACTGATAATGATAATAAATTTAATTTAAAATTTGGAGTCTTTTGGGAGTCTGACTAAAAAACTATTAGTCGCTAAAAGTACTAATTTGGCGACTAATTTTTTTTGGTTGCTGAAAATAAGGTTTTCGCGACCAAATTTTTGGTCGCCACAAAATATGTGACCTTTCGCGACCAAATTTGTAGTTGGTCGGCAAAAGTATATAACTTTTTGCAACTAACATATTTTTTGGTCGCCAAAATATAACCTTCTGCGACCAAAAATATTTGGTCGCCAAAAATAATGATCATTTGCGACTAATTAAAATTTGGTCGCCAAATGTCATTTTTTTGCGACAAAAATTTTTTTGGTCGGCAAAAGTGGTCGCAAAATGTGTAAATTCTTGTAGTGAATGTGGTGATATTCCTTCAGGCAATAAATCTTTAAGTAGTCAACCATTTGTTTTGCCTTGGCTAAGAAAGGGAGTGAAGAGAATATGAGCTCAAGAGAGGGAGAAAGAGCCGAGAGAGAGGAAGCCACTGTTTTGTATGCTGGTGCTTGAGTTAAAGAAAGAAATTGGGAACAAAGAAGAAAGTAAAGGGTGACAAAGAGAAGACTCAAGAAATTCAACCATTAAAGAAAAAGGGTAAGGATTTCAAGCTTGTTTTTTTTTTTTAGATTCATTTTCTAGCAACTAAAATCAAGAAGTGAATGGGATTAATTCCATGAAAAGAGAAGGAAACTAGGGAGAAGAATAAAGAAATGGAATTAAGTTTATGACGAATGAAATTGATTTAGAAATTCATCCTTTGAGAATAATTTTGATTATTTTTGATGAATTTGAGCTCTAATTTTACATGCACCATTATTTTCCAAAAGTTTGATACTTCAACTTCATATAATTAGAAAGAATTACCAACAAAATTAAAGTAAGTTCATGATTATGAAAATTAGTTATTTTGTATTTAATTTTTGTAATCTTGCATGAATTGGGCCTTATTTCTACATGCATGTAATTTGGAAGAATTAACTAATGAATATGGGTTTTGACCTTAAGTATTAACCCATGCATGTAATGTAATCTAAGAGTTTAACTCAAATTAAACATATTTTGGAACATCTATGACTATGGATTAAATTGAAGTTAAAATAAATTGAGTCAAGCTTGAGATTAAGGAAACGGGTTTGGGAAAATTTATCAAGTAAGTTTAAATTCTATTATTCCTCATGAATTTGGACTTCATCTTTACATACATCAATGAAATTTTAAGAGATTTGAAGAATTAATTTCATGTTTGGATATAAGAAGAACATGTTGTGGTAAATTATAAATTCATGAACATTTTGAGCTTAATTTTGAATTAAAGGGATTTTGATGTAGATGATTTGATTTTGATTATAATTTCACACATGCAAATGCTTTTCTAAGAGTTTTATAATTTCAATTTCATAATTTAAGGAGACAGAAAAGAGTTAGAAATCAATTTTATGGGATTAGAAGGAAATTGATAAGAAAATGATGAATTGGAGTCAAGATCAAGTTTATGAAGTTACATTAGAAATTAATTATTTTGGATTTGAATTTAGTTATCCTAACATGAAATTAAGTTCAATTGTTCATGCACCATGAATTTGTAAGAGTTTTGGAAGATCAATTTATGTTTTAAAAATAGTGGGTTTGAAATCGGGTTTGATATGGAGGAAATAAATTAAAATTAAATTTGGACAATTGAAGCATGATTTTGAATGAATGATTTCTAATTGAAAGTGTTTACTAAATTATATGATGGTTCTCCATTTTTGTGCACTAAAAGTATATGTTTTGAGGCTTTGAATACCAAATTTGAACGTCAATTTCAACTTTGGAATTTCAGAATTTACGTTGTCCGCTCGAGTGAGGAAAGTCTCGCTTGAGCATGAAAATCGAGCTCCCAAAAATTTTTCAAATTTTACAGTCCGCTCGAGAGACCAAAGTGGCGTTCGAGCGGAGACCCATTTTCAGCATATTTTGAAAAATTGCATTTAGTTCACATTTTTATTCTCATCTCTTTCCAAGGCATTCTAGACATGATTTATGACTCAATAAAGATTAATAAGTTAACAATCAACATTAATTAGTTGATTAAAGAATAAGTCATTAACTTAGTGATAATTGTTTAAGAAGCCAAGAAAAAGATCAATCTATTTGGAAAAGAAGGGCCTAGTAATGGAAGAATATGTGAAATAAAAACCCGGTTTATTTGAAGGAGAAAGAATAAGCGTAGTAGAACTTCGGACTGTTTAGACAGAAAAAGACTAGGAAAGTCAAGTTTGATCAAGGAAGTAATATTGTATTTGAATGTGTATATGTTATGTGCTTGTGTAGGTCACGCGCCATTGTCTGCCTGATTTGTCTGATATGTCCAGTCCGTCTGACTTGCTTCTGCGGCTCTGTGAGTAATAACTCTGTAAAGTTATGTTTAACTGAAGTATTTTCTGACTGGTATGGTATGATCTATTTTTTGAAATGCTATCTTACGAATTATGAATGAATGTCCAATTTTCTGAAAAGTATTTGTGGCACCTTTAGTTCACGTGGCCTTCGCTCGGGGGTAACAATACTGCGGCCAATCTGTACGTGGCCCTCACCCGGGGGTAACAATACCACAGCCAATCTGCCCGTGGCCTTTGCTTGGGGGTGACAATACCATGGCTACTTGCGCGCAAGATATGAACCTTTATGGTCGTTGGTACCAACTATGCATGTGGGTCTCTGGACCAAATTGATCTGATAGTTAATGGGTGTACCACGTATGATCTTATGCAAAATCTGAATATGAACATGAGTGTGTATCTAAATCTATTTCTGTTTTGAAGTCTGAATATGTTCTGATTTAAATACTGGATCCTAACTTGTGCTGGACATCATTCATAAAACCCTTTTACTCTGTTATTATTCACTGGGCTTTAGCTCACTGTATTATTTATGTATGTAGGTGATCAGGCGCGTGACCAGGCTTAGAGGCATCTGCCTAAAATCTGTTTTGTCAGCCAACCTATGTGCCTCCCGTGGAGGTTCCGGATATGTCAAGTGATTATCACTATGTGATTTAAAGTTTAAGTCCTTTTGTCTGATCTGTATATATATTATGACTTAAAGATAATGTGCATATGTGTATAGAAAAAGTTTAAAATTTTTCTGTCTCATATAAGTCTGCACAACTCAATGGACGTTGTATATTGTTATTTGCTTCCGCTAGCCCCTAATATTATGGTAATCTGTCTGAGAGGCCTTTGATAATCCTAAGATTACTAGTCGGTTACGATGTTAAACCTATTGGGGCAGGTTTAGGTCGTGACAAAACGGATCAGGTTGATCTACGCCTTCCACACCGTCGTTTGATCTCTGGGCCCACTGAAAAACCTGCACAAGTGTCCAACGGGGAACGGGAGTCCTCCAGCGAACCCTCAGACGAGCAAGTTAAAAAGAGAGACTAATGGAATGTAGAGATAGGATGGTGATAAAAGAACTTAACCTTCTCATTGTCTTAGAAACCTGCTTATATTCTTTGTTCATCATTTCCTTGTCCACTCCAACCTGTCATGTTGGCCGAAAGTCTATGTTCTAACTTGCCTTGTTCATGGTGAGGCCGTTCTGTTCCGACGTGAATGGGTTATCGTATTAGATGCTGTAAGGAACCTCATTAACGGCTGATGTGTGGTGCACTAATTCTACAGGATCTTTGTCTGCTTATGTGGCTGGTTCTTTTCTTGACAAGTGTTTAGAAATCATTGGTTCTTGGTGCAACGTTGGGTTCCAATGATGTTGGGCTTTAGTGTTTGAATCATGCATTGGGCTTTAAGTGGTGGGCTAAAAGCCCCTATGTGCCTACCTATGTTAGTAGTCCCACATTTCCAAGTGCAGTTTCAGTCCAACAAAGGGAATAAGGAAGAAGACGGCGGTTGTTAGTGGTCGAGTGAGAGAAGACCGACTGGAAGAAGGGCGGACCGCAAAGGGTGATCGAGAGGGAAGGTCGATCAGAAGGTGGGAGATCGTGAAGGGTGACCGAGAAAGGGGTCGATCGCGAAGTGGACAGATCGCGAAGGGTGACCGAGAGGGGGGCCAACCGCGAAATGGGCCAACCGCGAAGGGTAACCGGGGGGGGGACCTCGAACGGTGACCGATAGGGGGGCCGACCGCAAAGTGGGCTGACCGCGAAGGGTGAACGAGTCATAAGAGGGAATGGTGGCGTGCAGGGCTCGAGGAGTAGCGGGGCACGTGGTGATGTAAAGTGGAATAGACAGGGAAGGGGAAGAGAGTAGTGGATCGTAGTCGTACACGTGGCATAATCCCGTAATAAGGGAGGTGATGGGTTAGCAGGAAGCGAAGGGATAGGCTAATATAGGGTGTTGAAAAGGCGGGGGCGGAAGTTTTCAAAAATTTTCAAACTGGCGAAATTTAATCTCGACCCTTGGAATATAGGCAAATCGTGGGCATTTGGAGTTATTCGCTTTACTTACCTTATCATAAAAAACTAACACATCCCAGAAGTGAACTCATTTGTTTCTTGTGACACGTCTCTGCAACACTTTGCAAACTTCTTTGTGCTAGCATCCAAAGCGATACGCAGACACGTAGGAAGAATGGCTCGAGATGAAGTGCCAACCATGAGGCTAGACTCATTGGGAGAAGACGACGCAGTGGAGTTGGCAGAACAGTACCGAGTAGAGCAAAGAGAGGAGAGAGGAGCGGGGCAAGCGGTGCGGGCTCGCCCGGCGACGATGATCGTAGCTGCTAGGCCAATTAGCCAAGTGGATCCGAATCACTGGCATACCAAGGCCGACAAGTCTATTTTTACGGAGGAAGAGTTTGAAGAGATACGAAAGAAGTACCAAATCCCAGCGGAGGTAGAGCTGAGACTGCCCACTTCTAAGGAGAGGGCGTCGGACGCATGGTCGACAGAATTCACGTTGTATGAGGAGGCATTGCGAGGGGGGCTGAGGTTACTACTTCCCCAAATAGTGGTGGACGTACTTAAGAAGCTAGAAGTGGTGCTAGGATAGCTGATGCCCAACGCATGGAAGATACTGATGACTTGCTCGGTTTCATAGCCACGAGCGACTAGAGGGGTGGCTATGACGGTGGAGGAATTCTTCTCCTGCTACAAAGCCTCTGGTCAACAAGAAACGTGGGTGACTTTGCAGGCAGTGGCGGACCGGTGTCTAGTGGCAGGCTTGCTATCTTCGGTGAAGGGGTGGAGGCCAAGATGGTTTTATGTATCAGCGAACGGTGGGGGAGGAGTTCGCACAATGTGGAAAGTCCCCACAAAGTTGGTGGAGCCAAGGCTGGATGAGGAGGCTGAGAACAGAGTGAAGAGGTTGAAAGAGTGGAGGGAGAATGAGTGGAGGGAGAAGGAGGGGATGAGGTAGGATGACCTGATCCTACCTTCAACCCTGTTTGCCTTGAGACTATGGCCGCAGCCGATAGAAGAGGATCCGGCAAAAGGATCTGGCGAGGGAGGAGAGAGAGGCACGGAGGAGGTAGAAGAACGCAGGGTGTTCGCTAAGGCGGACAAGTATAAGGAGACACAGTTGGGGCTTGCATTGAAACTGGTAATGAAGGAGCGGGTCCGACCGCATCCCAAACCGCTGGAAGACAAAGACATAACAAACTTTGCCCTACTTTCGCCCCCAGTGGACCGACTAAAGGAGAAGGGCAAAAAGGAAGTGGAGGCAGTGTTGAAGAAAATGAAAAAGAAGAGAGTAGCGGTGGAGGGGAGTAAACACGCCCCTATTGAGAAGAAGATAAATGGTGGAAGGGCGGAGAAGGCTCTCGAAAGGGAGACTGCCCAAGTGGGGAAAGAAGATATGGGCGCGAGTGTCCAAATGCTAAAAGAAGACATAGGCGCAAGCGCCCAAATGGTGGCAATAGTGGGGCCTATGGTAGAAGTGTCGCCCAGTCCTGGTGAAGGGAAGTTTGGGGTTAGCAAACCGGAGACAAGCATCGCATTAAAGATCGCCATGTACCATGCGCGTGCTCTGGCAGGCCGGTCGGCAAAAAAAAGGGGAGTAAGCCAGGGTCGCAGCCGACCGCCTCGTTGGAGTGGTGAAGGATGCGGTAGTGCGATTGATGGCGCGGTTGACGGAGGCCGACCTCTTGAGAGGATTTTTCTCATCCCAGATGGAGGCAGCGGCCCTGGCGACTGCCTTGATGAATAAAGCAGCACATGCGAAGGTGGAGGTAGAGTTGCTGAGGACCCAGCTGGAAGAGGCGAAGACGCAGCTGCAGAACCTAAAGGTTGAGATAGCAGGCTGGAGGAGGGCCGCTCGGAGTGCATGCGCAAAGGAGCTAGAGTAAGCACAAAGGGCAAAGAACATGGAAGTATTGGCATTGGTGTAGAGCTACTCAGCAGAGCGAGCTAGTGCCGAGTTCCTCGCAACCAAATCAGAGCTGGAAGCGGAGCGCCACAAGACAGTATCGCTAGAGTTTGAAGTTGGCGGGCGAGAAGAGAAAGCTAGAGCAGGTTTAGCAAGCCTGCACCACCGCCAATGAGAGGTGGAAGGAGGTCATGACCAACAACGAAGAACTACGTGACCAGAAAATCAAAGACAGAAAAGAGGCAGATGGTCGAATCATGGAGTTGGAGAAGGCCCTAGCAGAGGAGATGGCCAAATTGGCATCTAAGAGGACGGCGTACCCTGACTTGTGTATGGCGGCCGTAGAGCAATTTAAGGGGTCCGCCGACTTCTATATGGCCATTGTTGCCGCTGTCGCCTATAACTTGGCGAAGGAGATAGATGGGGGGGGCTGGGCTGTCGGGAGCGGCCGCTGGAGATAGGAATGAGAGGAAGTGATCCAAAGCTTCCAGCGGTCTGACTTCTACAAGCACGAGATGAGCCAATTTTGGGACAGCAGCTGGATGACTTTCAAGTATAAGGCGCAAGAGCTGTTCCCAGACGTGGACTTCAGCCTCATGAGGATAGGAAAAGACGACGTCGCCCAGACCCCTTTGGACGAGGGGATTGAAGAGGAAGATCTTGCCTCTAGTGAGGAAGAGTGATCTTTGTAACTAAGTGTAAAAATTTTGTTTTTGCTGGTTTTGTTTTTGTTTTTGTTGTTTTATATATATATATATATGTAATTTCTGCAACGAATTGTATGAAAGCGTAAGTTTATGAATAAAACAACGAGTTTTCTTTTGTACTATTGTTGTCGTTATGCTTTTGAGTTGTAAATTTGGAATAATGAAAATGGCTGAGCAAAATTCAATAAAAAATGGTTGTAAAAATGAAACTTGTGCGTGAATTGTGAAACTTGTAAGTAAATTGTGATGTAAAAATAGTAAAAATGGGCAAACAAGCTAACTTGTAAGTAAACCATGATGTAAAAACGTTTTAAAATGGGCAAACAGGCTAACTTGTATGATTAGTGAAAATGAATGGGCATAGACTTGGATTTGAACTAAGTATGGCAACAACTGAGACCAGCTTTGATTTAGACCGGCGGAATTCTTCATGCTATTTCTGACTAAGACTGGGAGGGCTCTGTCGGGCTGAGGCTTTAATTAACTCAGTCTGGTTGAGCTCTTCGTGCTCAGTTTGGCTGAGACTTAAGTGAACTCAGTCTGGCTGAGCTCTTCGTGCTCAGTCTGGCTGAGACTTAAGTTAACTCAGTCTAGCTGAGGACTTCGTGCTGAGTCTAGCTGAGGCTTTAGCTAATTCAGTCTGGTTGAGCTCTTCGTGCTTAGTCTGGCTGAGGCTTTAGCTAACTCAGTCTGGCTAAGCTCTTCTTATTCAGTTTAACTGAGGCTTTAATTAACTAGTCATTATTGAAACACAACGTAGATAATAGAGATATAAAGTCATTGTCATTTAAGGCGCAGCCTATTGATCACAAGTTTACACCATGTATGGAAAGGGCAAAAACGAACAAATGTGCAGATCGTCAAAAAGAACATACAACAATCGATCAATAAAAAAATAGGAGATCCAATTTTATTGGAAATAACGCTTCAAGTGCTCGGCGTTCCATAGATAGGGGAAGTCTCTCCCTTCCATGTCTTGGAGTCAGTAAGTGCCTGGGCGAGGTCTGGCCTTAACAACGTAAGGTCCTTCCCATTTGGCTGCTAGCTTGCCCTCGGCGGGATTTTTGGTGGCAAAAGTTGCTTCACGCAAGACTAGGTCCCCCACTGCGAACTCTCTCGGTT